TCACATTGTTATCTGATTATGGAATTGAAACAGCAACTTCCAGCATCCCGTCATACTAGTCTTAAGTCTTCTATTTTGATGAAAAAAGACTGGAGATGTCAGAATGTGTTTAGATAGTCACAATAGCAAGAGTATGGTGTTATGACTTTTGTTCATCAAAAAAATACTGTAATGACTTCAGATCAAGATAAGTTTTTACCTTGAAGCCACGCGAACATTATATTCCTTCCCTGGGTGGTAAAATTCAGCAAGGCCCCAGTCTATCAATCGAAGCTTTCGCAATTCATGGTCAATCATAACATTATGAGGTTTGACATCTCTATGCATTATTCCTTGTGAATGACAATAGTCCAGTGCCTGCAATTCCATATAAATGGAAAAAGAGATCTCAAAGAGCTTTTTCCTTGTATATGTAGTCTATGTGAAGTAACGAGCATACACATCTAAGCTACTGACTAGGAAGAAAGAATTTCATTTTACCTTGAGAAGCTCATATATGTAGTAGCGTATGTCATAATCTGTTAATGTGGGGTATAGAACCTTGAAATCTGTACTATTTACATACTCAAATATCAAGCTTGGAGTTTTTGAATGCTGATCTCTGACAATGTCAAGGAGTTTAACAATATTTGTTCCTCCACAAAGGTTCTGCAGTATTTTGATCTCTCTCTTAATCTGCAGCAGAGTACAAAAACCTATTATTGTTTTCAGTTGTTAATGAAGAGGAAACACAAAGTATTTGTAGAATAAGTGCAATTAAAGTCCCCTAAGTCTTCCTAATGACTCCATTTTCAATGGCATCATAAGAGAATGATGACATACTTCTAGATGCTAATATACAACAATGTTAACAAGTACTCATCCTTCGCATGGAATACCTATTCCGTTTGTTGAACATGAGACTAAGCACAATGATTTCAATTTTCACCCAAATGTGCCAAACTAAGGATTTCACATTACGCCTTTGCAAATGCCTTGATACTTTTCTCTAGGGGTGATCCTATGTCTATTAAGATCCTCTTGGAGTGCCAAAATATGTCCATACTTATGGTAAGCCCTTTAACATCTAATGTCGACTTATGGTTAACGCTTTAAAATCTAGTTACTTCTTGAGACTTGGGAGTAAGTACACTGAAATCATGGACTTAGTGAACTTTTCATAATGCACCCTATGCACCTTTCCTGTGAAGTGTCTTGGTGTGCCATTGTCCCCACTCAGGGTGACAGTTGCGTAGTTTGAGCCTTTATTGAAGACTATAGAAGAATTTATTACAGCGACAAACGCAAAGTCATTATCCTATGATGGACATGTTGAGCTTATCAAGGCTATCATACAAGGTGTGCAATCCTTTTGGGTTCAAGCTCTCTGTCTATTGCTCCATCCTAAACAGGCTTTACCTCTATGCGCCGTAACTTCTGTTGGGGTGTGAAGTTTACAAAAAAGTGATTTTGCGCATTTGCTTGATATGTTCTTGCCTAAGGATGAAGGCGCCCTGGGACTTAAGGAGGCATAGACCTGTAACTAGGTCCTTCTCTCTAAGGTGTTAATGGAATTGTCACACAAAGAAAGATACTCATTCGGTTCATTGACTCTATAGAATCTACCTTAATGGGCGGACTGTGTGGAATTGGCAACGCCACACTATAGACTCCCAGCTTTTCAAGCCATAACATGTTCAAAAAGGAGAATACAATGTTTTGCATAGGGTTTTAATTACCTAAGGAAACCTATTTGTAAACAAATACAACTCTTAAAGAAAAGCAACATAAGGACATTAAATTATTATTATTACTATTATTATTATTATTATTATAACAATGACAATAGGAAACTAAAAATGGTGAACGCATTGGTGGTGAAAAATTATTTATCAATGGCACTCCATAACATTTTGGAAAAGCTACCAAATTGAGTTTGAACATCAACACATTTTTTTTGAAAAGATATAAAATTATTCAAAATCATTCATTCATAAAAAAAATAATCACATGTATCTAGAAAAAATCATCAATGAAGATGAAAAAGTTATTGAAGTTTGAAACCCCAAGGTAGACTTGACTGAATATGAACCCCAAACATTTGTATGTTGTAGATAAAATGAGGACTCAACCAATTATTGACCTTATTGACTTGTTTAGAAGGGACTATCGAGGTTGTTGGCTAGGCTGACACAGATCACAATCTAGTACGAAAGACTTGACAAACTGTGGATCATATGCCAAAAATTGGAGAGAATCAGGTGACTCAAGCAGTTATGAAGGGTAATTATTGAATCGGAAGAAACACAAACAATTGAACATGGAGTATGAAGGTAATAGAGACTCTGAGATTTACCCCTGAATTCAACCATTTTCACAGGATGTGTAGGTTTACTGAGGAGAGAGGAGATCACTAGTGGTGGTGTTGACGGAAAACATACCGATTGTCCTAGATCAAGGAAAAGCAAAATACTTTTTTCAAGAGAAGAGCAAGCATGTTGTTAGGCATTCGACCGTGGCTTTCTGAGCGGGGGTTTGCGACAAGAAGGTAGTGATGGTGGTGGTTTCGGCTTTGAATGCTTGCTCCGAGAAAAGAATTCTTGTCAGAAAGATTGCTAATCACATTGAATAATGATACTACTCACATCAGAACAATACTGGCTCGGATACCATGTTACAAATATAGGAGAGAATGAATGTTTTAGGTTATAACTGAAGAGGAAATACAAGCCATTAATGGGATGAGTACACCATAAGTCTTCCAAGCATTACTAATGACACCATAAAAAACATCATAAGAATGATGTCATACTTCTAGATCCTACTTTAACGTAGTGTTGACAATTTTTCTCCACAATTTTTTAGCTATTGAACAAACAATAATTTAGTCACATTTGTATGTGGAAACACACGGAAGCATTGGATAAAGTTTAGAAGAGATCAAATAATGTCATCAGGCAAGAGATGAGTGTTGAGAGTATCAAACAGAGAAGACCAAACAAGAAAAATGTTTTGTGTGTGCCACCTGACATCAAAAATTTATATGTACATAAAAAGAATTTTAATAAGCTTGAGAATAAGCACATGTTAACCATTGCTTATCTATAAAGTCACTATAATTTACTACAACATCATTCCTGAGTGAAGATATATCCTACCTTTTTCTTCTTAACGGGCTTTAGAATCTTAATGATGCACTTTTCATTGCTGTTGACATTTATACCCTCAAACACTTCACTGTATTTTCCTCTTCCAACTTTCCGTACAACTTCATAATCATCCTGGTCACTGAATTAGTAACCCAAGGCGTGTTAAAGAGCAAAAGATGTAAGATGCACATTTTGATTGTAGTGTTGAAGACAGATTATCATTAAAAACAAAAGGTAGTGCTTTTTAGGAAACAAGGCTTCTGAGAACCATATTTCTTTTTATCCAAGACTCCAACATATACAGACAAGCTGGCTTGATCCATGAAGTAATGAATTCAAATTTCCAATACAAAATGATGAATAATCTGTATTGAATTTTCTATAGTTTGTATACAGAGCATATAATGACCACATGCTTAACTGCTATAGTAGTTAAAGTATGTGCAAAACTACATTTAAGTCAATGGAAATCCTATTAATTTCAGGAAGGTGCAACTTTGAATGGTTGCAGATGCAGAGTGAAAATTTAACCTTAACTGGAAGGAAAAAAGACATGCAGAGGTGTGATAGAGTAAAATTGGAAGAGAATACATTAAAGTTATCAAATGCTGTTTTGTTGCATCACTTTAACACAAATCGATATGTGCGAGATGCCTGCTTCTGGCCAGTTTTTTCCCCAGCACTTCACGAAAACTGTTCCTAACCCTAACTGTTCCATTCCGTAAATCACCACCAGACCGTAATCTAAGTAAAACTATAGAAAGGAGAGTTAAAGCGATGAAAGAGTTACCCCCACTGAACGGTGAGCGATTCGTAATCCCAATATTCCTTGGGGCGAACGACATTGATGTCTGCGTAAACTCGAGATCTGGACATGGCTTCCGATAGAATCTCGAAGGTCGTGGAGCTGAGAACGGCGGCCGAAAGCCTAGCTCGGAGCTTTGAGAAGCCGCAAGGCCAGCGATAACAATGAAGCAGGCGGCGCAGATAAGCCGATCGAAAGTGTGTTCGTGCTGATTGGGCAATACGGACACCAGCACGGATCTTGAATTCTTGATTTTTTAATAGGACCCTGCTACACTGCACCCAATCATGCATCCCCGCTACACTGCACCCAATCATGCATCCCTATATAATGTGTTTCTTTTTATCTTTTCTCTTTCTTTCTCTTTCTTTTCTTTTTCCTTTCCTCTGCGTCGCTCTGGCTCTCTTCTTCCGCGGCAGCGAGGCGCTCCCTTCTCCCTTTTCTGTGTTCTCCTTCTTACAAGGCTTCAGGTAATCTCTTATTTGTCCTATCTTCCTCTTCATATCTCTGATGCGCCAACCCCTATAGCACGACAATTCCTTTGTCAATCTCTTCTTTTCATTCCATTTTTAGTCAATTTCTATGGCAATAATTTTTTGAATTTTTGTAGAGTACATAGGATATTTGGTGATTATGGACTTACAAACATCTATTGTTACACATGTTGAGAATGAGCAACCACATGATTTTGGTGGTAAAGAAGAAGACCTGGTTTTATATGAGTTGCTGCCCAGTTATAAGTGTTGATATTTAGACCCAATTCTATATTCATTTGAAGTAGTGAAAAAAAACTGTTTTGTTTTCGTGTTACAGAAATTAAAGTTCTGTGAATCTAGGGTTTGTCCTACGCTAATTATCTGTATGCACTCTGCATTTGGTGTATTATTGTTTTCTTCATAGTCAGGTATTTTATTATATTAAAGGTACTGTTTTTTGCAGCTGTTGAACCAGATTTGTTTCTAAACGATCCTTGCTTTCAATATTTATTTAATGACGAAGGGCAAGAATAGGCGAGTGGTGAGATTCCACAGAACACAGATGACATTAACAATGATGTCCGGAACAATGGTCAATGCCCTTCTAAAGGAAACAAAGGTAGCGTGCCTGAAGTGGGGATGAAGTTTACAAGCATTGGAGAAATTCGAGAACACTATCTGGCTTATGCTCGAAGTGTAGGATTTCCAATGCGGACGAGGACAACTCGCAAAGCCAAAGATGGAACTCCTAGAAGTGTTACATTTGTGTGCAGTCGACAAGGAAAAAAAAAAGAGCAAAACACAAGATGTGTTCCACCCGAGGCCGACAATGCAATTGGGATGTGAAGCAAGAGTAACTGCGTCATGTGATGGTGATGGAATATGGAAGATCTCCGTTGTGCAGTTATTGCATAACCATGACTTGAGTCCTACTAAATCTAGAATATATCGTTGTAATCGTAGTGTGCCTGCTAGTGTTAAAAAGCAGCTTGAGGTTAATGACAAGGCAGGAATTCCCTTGCACAAGAGTTTTCAAGCGGCTGTTGTGGAAGCGGGTGGATATGAAGAACTTGGCTTTATAGAGAAGGATTGTCGAAATTACATTGAAGAGTTTAGACGATTAAGACTTGGCCTCGGAGATGCAGAGGCAATACAAGGATATTTTAACAAGATGCAAGCAAAGAATGATGGGTTTTTCTTTAGCATGGATGTGGACGAAGAATCAAGGCTTAGAAATGTGTTTTGGGTGGACAATAGGTGTCGTCAGTGTTACAAATCCTTTGGTGATGTTGTGACATTCGACACTACATACTTGACTAACAAGTATGAATTGCGGTTTGCTCCTTTCGTAGGTGTAAACCATCATGTTCGGCTTAATTCCCGGACATACAACAAGCACTACACTTGTGTTAGACCCATTAATCGGCACACGCAAAGGAGCTCCAAGAAAGAGTCGTCTCAAGTCCAACAGGGAAAAGTATGGTCAAAAGAAAACAAGAAAAAGGACTACAGAGAAAAACCCAAAACCGAAAGAAGGTAGAAAAAATGATAGCCTACCTAAGAAGAGGAAGAAAATGGATGCGCCTGAGATCTTGGGATCACAAAGGCAGCATGCTTGGCCCGTGCAAGACGAAGATGGTGTTTACGACCTCACCTTGGGAGGTCTGGATCTTGGCCTTTCACTACATTGACTTTTAACAGCTATTTTTCTGCATCAGATCTAGGTACCGAAGCTCTGATTTTTTGGAATGAGCATGGGAACTCTAAATCACATACCTTTTTGCTTTTTGTGTAAAGTATGTAAAGTATCATGATATAGAAATTAATTTAACCAATAAAGCTTACTTACATCATTGCTTAGCCATTTTTCCTGATCTATAAGATCACGGAAGAAGTCTCGATTGACATGGCCAACACCTTTGCACTGTAGTTCAATTGTCGTGGGAGAGACATTGTCTTCTTCATTTATCCAACTTTCAAGACTGTTCCAATCTTCAACTGTTATTTCAATTGTGAGCGGATTTACCGTTGGTCGCACAATCTTACGCGGTCGGGGGTCTGTAAAAGGGCTGCAGTAGTACTTTGATTTTTGTCTCTTTCTCTTCTGTAAAGGTTCGTTGATCACATGTTTTCCCTTTCCCAACACCTTTTCCTACGTAATTAATACATTAAATTGTCTCTTGCGAAGGAAAAAAATTAAAGTAAATAGAACCTACTTAAGGAATTTTACCTTGTTGAGAGTCAATTCCATCAGAAGCTTTTCTTCATCTAAATCGTCACCCTCATTGTCATCCACTTCAACCATATGTGAATCCACTTCAAACATATGTGTATCACTTGGAATTGGAAGAGCTTCTTGAGAATTAAGGGTAGTAGTCATGTTGTCTTGGGGTTCCTGCACCATACACACACAGACACATGTCAAAAAAAAGATGTACATCATTTCTAGGAGTAATCCATGTAATGCACAAAGTGTAAATTACATGTTCAGCAGTCCCCTCCTTTTCGGCACGATCCTCGTCGCTGTCGTTGTGAGACTTCTCAACAGCAGTGTGCTCATCCTCAATTTGCTCTGTATCCTCGTTTTCCCCAATCGCATTCTCCTCTTCATTTTCCTCTGTCTCCTCAGTGTCGTCCTCACTTTCCATACTCTCCTCCTTATTTTCCCGAGTCTCATCTTCATCTTCATCAGCTCCAGTCTCCTCCTCATATTCCTCAGCAGCCTCCTCGATTTCATCATCTTCTTCTAAATCCTCATCATCTTCCTCGGCAGCCTTTGTCCTTGCTCTCTTCTGTCTCTGAATTCTAACAGATCTTCTCCTTCGGCCACTTGAATTCAGGTTCATAACAACCTCCACCAACAACTTCTTGATTTCATCAATCTTCACTTCAAGTCCATCCATCCTTTTCTTCAAATCTCTAATGGCTCGAACGGTGTCGGCATCAGAATCCTGTGTATAAATAAGAGCATAAAGCATATATATTCCCAGACAGTGACTGTAGGTATAATGTAAATTCACAGAGGTTAAAAGTCAGCGAATATATTACCTTCTTTTGTTGCAATTCACGAAAGAAAATGTCCTTAAGTGTCACCGCTTTTGGAAACTTCTTTGATGCCCAATTCAAAATTTCACAAGAAGAAGTCCCCTCTTGCACAGCAAGGTTTTTTTCAACCAACTCCGGAAAACACTCATACGCCCACACCTTAAACAAAAGTAAATATAAAAATAATGAATATTCCAAGTAAGTGTTAGAATACATATTATGTTCATATACTAACCTGAATAGGCAATGGAAAACCATAGAAGGTGTACTTAAAGGATTTGTAGTTTGGGGTTTCTTTGCTCTTTTTTTCAAATTTTTCGGGCTGTCCATCCATTGCACCTTTCATATGTCGTATAGTAAGTAAGTACGACTCCCAAGCCCATGGATAAGATTTGAATTTTTTGGGCTCTTCGACAAGATGCAAATGGGTTGATTCAATGCATGTAGATCTATCCTTTGCTAAAAGGACAGACTCAATGAAGTAGAGCATGGAAAAGTCAACCAATTTCTTCGAATCCATGGTATTCTCCGCTGCAACATACTTCTCTCGTACATGCTTGAAGGTGCACTTCGCGACCTCCCCTCCTAAGAATGTGTGACACAGTGAGCTCTGTCCAAGCTCTTTGTCCTTAAGAGGTGGGTACCTCTTTGTGTTCGGCAACCCTGTAATTCTGCACCAGTCGTTGAAAGTGAATTTGACAATTTCACCATTTCGGAGGATCCAGAATTCATCGTCAGGTTGATCCTCAACAAGCAACAAAAGCATTTGGTGAATGATCTGGCCAGAAAACTGGAGGTTCTTAAGCCCTACGAAGTGCCCAATTGGAGTCCTGTGAAATTCTTCAAATTGACTAGGACTCAATTTCTTCTCAATGTTGTTGATGGCTTCACGGATGTCAGAACAAACTGAGTACTGAGCTCCAAAATGAGCACTTACAGAGATTAACAAAGACATCGTCTGAAATGAAGTTCAATTAACACAATTTAAATATTCACACATGGTATATTAAATATTCACACAATTTAAATATTCACACAGGGTATATGAAGTTCAATAAACAGAAGTTAATTGTCTATGGCATATTATTCAAAGAAAGCAAGCAAAAATAACAAGTAGACTTGTTTCACAAACAATAATGTTATATGAAGTTCAAATAACAAGACTTAAACCTCTGTGTCATACAATTCACAAAGTAAGCAAAAATTTTACAACCAAACATATTTCACATACAATAAACTTATATAAGTTAATCAATGAAACTACATTATGGAGATTTGAGACTACACAAACATACTATTATCAAATCCACAATTACATTAACACACAGTTTAAAAATACCAAGAAAATTGAAATAATCGGCAAAGACCAAAGAAAGGGAAATTAGCTTGAGTACGTTTTGGGCTTAAGCAGGACTGCCAGCAAGGGAGGTGGAGGGTGGGGCTGCCGGCGCTGGAGGTGGACGGGTGGGGCTGCCGCTGCTGGTGGTGGAGGGTTTGGCTGCCGACCATATAGGTGGAGGGTTGGGGCTCCCAGCGCTGGAGGTGGAGGGTCGCTGGAGGTGGAGGGGGTCGCTGGAGGTGGAGGGTTGGGGATTTTGCCGGCGATTCGAAATTCTACAACAATCAGACGAACACAAGCCAAATTTGGGAAAGAAAAGAGGAAAATTTGGGAATTGGGAGCTTGGGGAGGTTGAAGCGGGAGAATGGAGAGAGATTAGATTTGGGAATGTCTTTCGGCGGGAGACGAAAAGCCTAAAAAAATGAAAAAAAAAATAAAAGTGTTATATATTAGGTAGCATGCTTGGAGGCATACGTGGTGCCTCTTTAGCATTTCCCTTTTTAATAAGGATCCTAAATTCTTTCCAAAAAAAATTAAGGACCCTAAATTTTTTTTTGAAGGATTAAGGACCCTAAATTAGATAAGATAAAATTCGATTACGGTCCGCATTCGTAACCGTTTATACGAAAAATATCTGCATCCGTTAAAAACATTTATTATCCGTATTCGATTAAGGATATCCGATTGATAAACAGATATAGATTTGGTAATTATACATCTGATCCGTTTATAATTTGCTCCGCATACACATCCATTTAAATAATCATTTATCCGTATATCTGATCCGTTATATATAATTTTTCCTAATTTTTTATTATTATATTTTTTTTCTATTGACATCTCAAAGTATAAGATATTTTTATATGCAAAATATATATAAAGACACATAAAATTATGTGTAGACACATAAAAATATGTGTATATGTGTATTGGGTATATCTTTTTACCATTTGGAGTTGTTGAATATTATAAATTTTAAAAAATAAGAAAAAATTACTCAGTAACAAATTACAATTGAATAGATAATATTTTGACTTTAATTTAATTGAAAATTAAAATATTTTTCAATTTAACTTAAAAAATTGAAAACGGATACGAATATATCCGATGTCCGATCGATATCTAACGGATGCGGATACGGTTTTGATTTTTAGTATCCGTCAAGATCCGTAACTGAATTCGATATCCGATAAAAATAAACGGATGCGGATCTGGTAATGGCACATTCGATCCGATTAATATCCGCGGATGCGGATCTGGTAATGGCACATTCGATCCGATTAATATCCGTTTACAGCCCTAACTCGCTTCCCTCTCTAAAGTCTAAACTAGAATAATGTTTGTCCTCTACTTTGATAACTTAATTTGTTTAGATGTTTTTTTCATTTATCTTTTGAAAAAATAAAATAAGCATGTGTATATTTTAAAACTAATATAACACTCATACGTTGCACCAGTTATATTAACGTTATGAAATTATATTGGTGTCATTGTTGAAGAATGGAACAGACTTCTTAATGAAATATAAAACTGTAAAATATAAATATCAAATGAATTATAAATTTTGGATTTTTTTATAAACTACATTGGTATTAATGAATCATTGATTGCAATATCGTATTTTTTGTTGAATGCAACGCGGTGCATTGCTTCCAAATGTAGGAAGAATTAATCACTGAATTAATAATGTCTTCTCTGATTTTTTGGAATTATTGGTAATATGTGATGAAAATTTCCACCAGAGACGATTTTTTATCTTCCGAACGTCTGATTTTCACACAATAGATTGAAAAATCATAGAATATCGTGCAAACTTATATCTAAAGGTTCAAAACAATACTTATGTGTCATTGATGTTTCGTCCTACTTAATTAACTTTGCCTTCACTAAGAGTTGTGCTAGTAGAGTTCATTACTTTTATACTTTATGTTGCATCTTGACTTTTCATCCGGGTTCAACACGGTTTTAAAACGTGAATGAACTGTTCTTCCATCAAGCAAAAGTAATGATGTTATTCCTTTTTTATGGTGTATTTGTAGGCTTACACACCTTCTAACATGTACATGTCATGCCCATTGACTTATTTGAATGTGGCCGAATTATCTACCGCAATTCTCTTGAAGAAATTTCTTTTGGACTCTTGATATTGTCATAGCAAAAAATGATATGCACCCAAGGTGCACCAAAAAAGCACTCTAGATCGAAAGTGTGTTCGTGCTGATTGGGGAGTACCGACACCTTGATTTTTTATCAACTATGTATGAACGAATTTGTAGTTGAATGTGTGTTGATGTTCCTTGTAGTTTTTTATGTGTTGGTATTGAATGTTGTGGCTCTAGAAAAGTTGCTCCCTTGTGAACTTTATGTGCCTAGATGACTATTTCGTATGAATGTGATGTTCCTCTATTGGTTTGTCATTGTTGCGGGATTACTAAAAAATCCAAGATACTTCACATGGTTTTTCTATAAAATTCCCAAATACTGCACTTGGCATTTCTAAAAAATTCTCATATATTGCATTTGGTTTTTAAACAAAATTTTAGATACTGCACCTGGTTTTTCTTGGGTTTTCTAAAACAAATCCTAGATACTTCACTTAGTTTTCTTGATTTTTCTAACAAAATCCCAGATAATGCACTCCGCGAGTACATGTGTGTGTTTTTGAAAACTAGTATTTTGACTTGTGCCATGCAAGGGGTGGAACAATTTTTTTTGTTCTTGTTATTTTCCATCAGGGCAAAATTTTTCAAATACCAAACAACATAAAACATATTGAATTCACTAATGAAAGTTCTACTATATACAATTAAAAATTAACATTTCAAAGTCTTATTCAAATTAGAATAATTTGAAAAATGTTGAGGCATACAATATTTTTTGTGAAGTTATAGAGATTACCAATGACATGTAAAAATAATAATTTCAACTTTATTTTTACTCTTACTTGTGAAATAGTAATATAAATTTAACAATAAGTGAATGCAATTTTGGTAAAAATAATATTATTAATGTCAATGTTTGACATTAACTTTTTTTATAATCATAAGTCATAACGAAACATAAGCTATTGAAAATTATATTCTTTGAAACTTCAAGAGTAATCCTTTATGAAATGATATACGGAATATAATCATCATATCATATCATATATATATATATATATATATATATATATATATATATATATATATATATATATATATATATATATATATATATATAAAATATAAATATAAAGTTGAGCGGCTTAAATGCGGTAACGACATGTGTCACGCCACACGTGTAGATTTGTAACACGTGTCATGCCACATGTGTATCACATGCCACGTGGCATGCCATGCGTATAATCATATATCATATATATATATATATATATATATATATATATATCCTTTGTATATTCTTTATATATATAAAGCAGAGTCGGAGCTGCAGGAATGTGACATTTGGCAAAGCTGAGGAGTGACATGTGGCAAATTGATGTGGCAAGAGAATTAAATGAACATGATTTGTGGCGATTTAATTATTCTTTCCATATATCATGTATTCTTTCCTTAGATTAATTTATGCTATGGCTTCAATTGATAATTCTTATTAATCTGAATATTGCCAAATTCTTAGGCTTTAATTGATAATTTATGCTACGCTAATAAAAGGCTATTAATACCGTAAATGTTTAAAAATAAAAATAGAATGGAAATTTGTTTGGAAAGAAAAAAATTTTGTTTCAGAAATAAAAAAATTAAAATTTTCATTTAAAAATTTTAAATTTCTATTTCAAGAGATGTTATGCCATTACATATGGTAATTGTGATGTTTACATGGTAAGTAATAAAAGCTATTAATTTCCGTTCCAATAATATTTTATTACGTAAATGTTCAACCCAATTTTTTATTTCACGCCAATAAAAGGGTATTTATACCGTAAATTTTCAAAAATAAAACTAGAATGGAAATTTGTTTGGAAAGAAAAATATTCTCTTTCAGAAATAAAAAATTAAAATTTCCGTTTAAAAATTTTAAATTTCCATTTCAAAAGGTGTTATGTCATTACATATGTTAATTGTGATGTTTACATGGTAAGTAATAAAAAGCTATTAATTTCCGTTCCAATAATATTTTATTATGTAAATATTCAACCCAAATTTTTATTTCACGCTAATAAAAGGGTATTAATACCGTAAATTTTCAAAAATAAAAATAGAATGGAAATGTTTGAAAGAAAAAAAATTATATTTCAAAAATAAAAAATATTAAAATTTCTGTTTAAAAATTTTAAATTTTCGTTTCAAGAGATGTTATGTCATTACATATGGTAATTGTGATGTTTAGTTACTAAGTATAAGTATTAAAAGGCTATAACTACACGCCAATAAAGGTTATTAATACCGTAAATGTTCAAAAATAAAAATATAATGGAAATTTGTTTTGAAAGAAAAAAATTATGTTTCAAAAATAAAGGCCAAAAGGTAAGAATTAAATATTCTTACCGTTTAAATATTCTTACCTTTTCAAAAATTTCTTCGAAAACAAAAAACTTTCCGTTTCAAAAATATAAAAAAATTCGTTTAAAAAATAAATCCTTTGTACTATGATTGGCCTTTTAGAATTATATACTATAAATACGGTCCTTTACAGACCCTTCGTAGTAAGATTATTCAACGTGTGTTTTTATTCAATGCTTCAACATCGCCTTTTTACGAGCATGAGGATTTTAACCGACTTAAAAATGAGAGTTAGGCTTCCAGAATTGTGACATGTGGTGCGCTTATTGGGCAATTTTTTTGACATGTCAGCACGTCATGTCATCAAGTTATATTTAAAGAATTAATTAATAAAAAAACTTATTCTATGAAAATTAAATTTTGTATTTGTTATACACAAATTTCTCAACATAATCGCGTTTGAAACTTTTATATCTTAATTGTTTTTGGAAAATATTTAAATTAAATAATGTATTTTGTAATTGAAAAAAGAACTCATATTCAAAAACAATAATCAAAAGAATAAATTTATTCTAAAAAAGGATAAATTGGTAAAACTAAAAGAAATTACATATGAATATTTATTTTTACTTTGAATTAATACTAATTGGAGATATTTTCCAACATTAAAAAAACAGAAATAGATATATAAAAGAAAAGGGATTTTAATGGGCATGTCTATTTAATAAAGTAATAATTTTATTCGGTATATATTTAAAAAATACTAAGTTAAATAAAAATTATGTTCCATTTTAAAATTAGTAAATTCTATTTTTAAATTCTTATTTTCTATTACAAACTTTGTAAAAATTTAAATATGTGTGCCACAAAATTACTATTTTCCATTAATAATTTTTGAAATGTTGAAGACTTAGTATGTGAGTATTTATGTGTGAGAAATTAATTACTCCGTATTAATTGGTGTTCCTAATCGAAATATTTATGGTATAATATTAATTTTTATAGGTGTAATTACTATTAATTAAAATTCTTGAAAATAAAAAACATGTTTATTTTGATATTTATGTCAAAATAATGAAAATAAGTAATATTCTTGCTTATTTATTCATCTGACCGTCAACAGCAATGTAACAAATATTAGTGGATAATAGA